AGGGGCCAACTTTGGAACAGACTATATCAATTGTTTATATGCAAGTTCAAGTTCAAGCTGAAGAAAATTAGAACAAGTTCATGAAAGCCAAAATCCAATCTTGAGTGTATCCCACTTGCATTTAGAGGCCATTCCAAGAATAGATTTGGCACAATGAACACAAAATCCCATAGGCCAGAGGAGTTGTGGTATGACACCAAGAACATCATACATGAAGCAAGCAAAATGTCATGAAAAAAATAGAAAAGAAAAGGCCAAAATGAATGTCAGAAGAGACTCTGAAATGTGCTTTTGAATGCAGAGTAGCTAAAGCAAATGGTAGAAATCATGAAGTAAAAGAGATAAGCAGGAATGACAAGAGGCGGGTAAAAGGAGCAGCCGGCAACATCAACAACGATGGCGTTCTTCAGAAAAAGGATCAGCCCTGGAGCAGCTTGGAGACCAGTGGGGACACTGGAAGGAGCACAGGAAGCAGGACCTTCTGGTTTCCAAGGGTCGGTCTCCAAGACACAGATCTTCACCAGTTCAATTCCAAAGTGTGGCGCTGCCATTAAGGCATACTGGGAGTAGGGCTGCCGTACAAAGCTGAGCTGGTAGGACTACTCTGTCTGAGGAACAGAAAAACAGGGCCAATGGCGGCTGAGGGCATGGATTTGTCACTCAGATGGCCCAGGAGAATGGGCCTGCCCAAAGCCAAGGGAGCAGAGTGGCCAGGCCAGTGTGCCTGAAAGGCATAGCGCAAGTCCGGGGTTAGGCGCCTCCCTGAAGAACCCAAAGGCTGTGGCCAACACTCTGAGTATGGTGAAGGGCAAGGCCATGCCCAGACTCTCTTCCTGACGTCCACTTTGGTTCAGAGTCTCCTGACATCCATGTTGGTCCAGACTCTCTCCTGACGTCCACTTTGGTCCAGTCTCTCTCCTTATGTCCACTTTGGTCCAGAGTCTCCTGACATCTATTTTGGTCCATACTCTCTCCTGATGTCCACTTTGGTCCAGAGTCTCTCCTGACGTCCACTCTGGTCCAGAGTCTCTCCTGACATCCACTTTGATCTTTTCTTTCTTTCTTTCTTGTCATTCTTTACTGACCTTTTTGCTTTCTTCACATATGTTCTTGATGCCATCCCACAACTCTTCTGGTTTTCAGTCACTGATGTCTAAAGCATGAAATCTGTTCTTGAAAGGGTCTCTAAATTCATGTGGGATACATTCCAGGTTGGATTTTGGCTCTCACGCACTTGTTTGAATTTTCTTCAGTTCCAGCCTGAACTTGCATATGAGCAATTGATGGTCTGTTCTGCAGTTGGCCATGAATCAGAGCCGACTTGATAGCATCTAATATCAACAATACAACAACATGTTAAGATTATCAATAGATGTTTGCAGCTGTATCTTATCATTTTGCTTTGTGCCCCATCAGCAAATGAAGGTCCTGAAGGCTTTACTCTATTCACATCATTGTGGTTGGTCCTACTTTGTATATTGAGTGCCTTCCAACCTGAGGGGCTCATCTCCGAGGACTATATCGGACAATGGTTCACTTCTATTCATAAGGTTTTCAGGGGTGAATCCCTCGGTAGTGAACCATGTCGTCTTTCTTTCTAGTCTGTTCTTAGTCTGAAAACTCTACTGAAATCTATTCACAATGGGTGTCCTGCTGGTATTTAAACACCACTGGCTTAGCTTCCAGCTTCATAGCAACACGCAAGCCACCACACTATGACCGACTGACAGACTTGTGGGGAAGACTACCCATTACAATCCCCCCAAAACAGTTAGCCATACCTTCTCAGTTGACCTCTCTTTGAATATAACTGAGCCTGCAGGTGCCCTCAGATGACACTGTTTGGATTGGACCCTTTTGTTGGACGGCATCCTATCAAGACAAGTGTGTTCGTGCAGCCACCCACTGATCACAGAGTCACGTGTAAGCATGTTGTTTGGAACGTGCGTGTATGAATTGGAACGCTAGCAGCAATGCTTTTTAGCTTACCCTTGCATGATGCCAATTCATTTAAACAAATTAAAACAAGTTTGTTGTTGTTGTTTTTGAAGCACGGCAAACCAGCTGCCACCCAGTCAGCTGAGACTCAGATGGAACCATGAGTGTTGGAGTGAATTGTGCCAATTTCCCAGGAGTCACTGTCCAGGTGCCTTTGGGTGAATTCAAATCACTAACCTTTCCGTTTGTAGCTGAGTGCTTAACCATTTATGACACCCAGTGACCCCTGTTTTTCCCTCCAGGATACACAAAATGGTCTGGAAGCATTTCCGGTTTTCATTGCCTGGGGGGGTGGGGGTGGGGGAAGTCACTACTGGCACCTAGTGGACAAAAACCAGGGTGCTGCGGCGGTGGCTGAGCACCCTGAGGTGCCTAGGGCAGGCCACAAGGAAGCATCGTCAGTCCCAATCCCACATCAGTACCAGGGTGAGAACCCTTAGCTGAAAGCAATTATGCCCATGTTATTGTGAAGTGAGCGGTGTTGGTTGCGCCTCATAGCACCCCTGTACAGATAGGGCTCCCCAGGCTTTTAGTCTTCATGGCTGCTGAAAGCCTCAACTTTCCCCCATGGAGCAGCTGCAAGGCTTGAACCGTGGGCCTTGTTGTTCACAGTCCAGGGTTTATTGTCTTACGTGCTAGGTCTTCAGTCAATATGTTTGTGATGGATGGACAGGAATGACCAGGCAGGCGGCAGTGCGAGTGAGGAACCCTGGGGTGGCACGGTGGGATCAGCGCTTGACCTCAAGGTCAGCAGTTCAAACTCACCAGCTGCTCCTTGGAAACCCTATACAGGGTCGCTATGAGTTGGAACTGACTTGTCAGCACTTAACAACAACTAAAGTGGGAGTGACCCACCACCGCTGTAACAGAAAGGCGCCAGGGTGGGACAGAGGAGCTGGTGGGGGTCTGAGAGAGGATTGTAGACCCAACAGAGACAACCGTGGAAAGCCCAGTAGACTTGGATTACAGATGAACACGGTGTGATACTTCAGCAGTAGCAGGTCCCATACAGTATTTGTTATGAAATGAAAAATGTATTCATTATCTGAAATCTAAGTTCAGCCAAGGGTCAGAGCTTGCAGGGTACACACAGGAGGTGGCCAGTAGGACTGAATGCAGACCTCTCCCCCCAGTTCCTGCCCCCACCTACCTCTCTGAGCCACCACTTGCAGCCACATTCCAAGTCTCCAGCCCACTTGCCTTTCTTGTCTGCTGGGATCTGGTTGTCCCTGTGAGTTCTCCCAGAGCCAGGCTGGGCTGGTGCACACGGGAGAGAAGCATGTGGGCCTCGTGTACACATGTGTACACTCACATACATTCATACTCTAACCACACTCACACACCCATCACTCAAGGGGTGTTGGTGGGAATTGAACTGGGTCTCCCTCGTGGAAGACAAGGAGTCTACCGGAGCCACCAACATCTCAGGTGCTCCCTAGGGTGCTGCTTCCTTGTGACCCCACAATGTGTCTCTGATAGGGAGCATCAGGGGTCTTCTGGAGTATCTGGAGAAAGAAAGAAACTTTGTGGAAAACTGAACGCCACCCCCAAACTCCCACTCAATTCTCTGGCAAGAAGCAGGCTGGGTAATGGTCCTGTGAAATGAAATACTGACCAGCAAAAAAGTACCTGTGTACCCCCACTCTTAATATTTAGGGCTACCGTGTAACCAGGAAAAAGGGGCTTTAATATTTAATGTTCCAGAATTTGGAAAATCTATTACCATACAATGTTTAGGAGACACTGACTTGGCAGGAATAAATATTTTACAGAAGCTGTGTACTCGGGGCTGCATTTCTATATGAATAAGCAAAGATATACGTGAGAACCAAGTTGGAAAATGAATAGATGGATCATTTTAAAGGACTTTGGGCTTTCTATATTCGAGATTGAGCGTTACTCTACTCCCTTGGGGTATGGGGAAGGAAGTTGACAAATTAGAGCAAAGCGGAACTTCACATAAAGAGAGAAAGTCCTGGTGTGGCACTGTAGGATAAGCACAGTTTGAACCACAAGGTTGGCGGTTCAAACCCACCAGCCGCTCCATGGGAGAAAGATGAGGCTTTCTGCTTCGACAAACATTTAAAGCCTCAGAAACCCTACACAGGGTCGCTATGAGTGAGAACCGACTCAACGGGCATTTAACAATGACACACATGTATTGGGTCTGTGTGTACAACAGAACAAAAAGTTGCCTGGTCTTTCCTCATCCTCACAAAAGCTGGCATGGTCAGGTTCACCCTCGAAGCTCTTGTGCCAATCCATTTTTCCAAGGGCTTCCCACACCCTCATTGGTCCTAGACTTCACCAAAGGCATGTTCGGAGCAAGTGGTTTGGATTTCATAGGGCTTTCACTGGCTAATTTTCAGAAGTCAGTCTTGGTCTGGAAGCAGCCCTGAAACCTGTCCCCCATGGGTGACCTTGCAGGTGTTTGAAATAGCGGTGGCAAAGCTGCATCACAGCAACACACAGGGCACCACAGTGTGACACACAGACAGACAGGGAGTGGAGACAGCGTGTATTTGCCTGACACGTGCAAGAGGGTGCAGGCCTGTCCTGGGGCCCTCCTCCTAGCCCGATCCTGTTCTTCACCTAAATGTTGCCCGCAGGCCTCCCAACGTCTCCAACCTCCGTTCAGTTCACTCCCGTCACCAAGGCGAGGACAGGCATCAGGACACGGCGGACTCTCTCCCCTGCTGTCCCCTTCTACCTTCACCTTTGGAACCAGCCCCTCCTGCTTCCCTGCTCCCTCCCCAGTCCGAGCCTCCGGGATGAGTCGCCCCTACCCCCCCACTCTGGACCTGTCCTTGTCCCCTGATTGCCAGCAAGAGCAGGGAACTGCGGTGGCGGGATTCTGGCCAAGTGTGATCCCGCCGCCGACCCGTAGTCCGCGCCGCGTCCTTCCCGTCGCTAAGCAACCGCTAGTTCCAGGGACCTCGGACTCCGTATCAACTGTGGGCAGTGGGCGCTCTGGGGGACCCCAAACCTCGGTCGCCAGCGCCATGGACCTGGTTATCACGCAGCAGCTGGTCCACGCCGAAAGTCAGCAAGGTGCACACGGAACACTGCGACCCCTGCCCGCTGCGACCCCCGCCCTCCGTGCACTCTGGGGGTCCCGAGTCCTCCCATTCCCCAGAGCAGGATTTAAACTAAGAAACCCCGCCCATCTGTGCTCCTGCGGGGCGTGCGGGGAGCGGGGTTGAGCCTCCGGATGACCCGTGGGGAGTCGGGGAGAATGGAGGGGTGCATGTCGGTTCCTTACCCAGCCCGAGCCTGACCTCAGGGTCCTCTTGAGCCCCACTGGAGAAGCTGACCAAGCGCACCCTTCCGACCTTCCACTCCTGTCTCCATAGATGTCGCTTCCCTGAGAAAAGCGTACGAGCTGATCAAATCGGCCAACCTGGGAAAGTCGGCGTTCGACCCTTCCGAGAGCTTCAGCCCCGACCTGTTCGTCCTGTGCGCAGAGCAGGCACTGAAGGTCAACCCAGGTCCCCAAGGTCTCCAGAGGAGAGGGAGCTCCCGGGGCCAGGCCTAGACTGGTGGACATGGGGGGTCAGCAGGGCTGCAGTGCTGGTACCCTCAGGGTCGGGTTTGCAGAACTTGAGCGGCAGTGCGCTGCCAAAGCGCCTCTCTGGACCTCTGACCCCCTTGTCTTCCAGATGGGGCAGCGCGATGTGAGCGAGAACTGCATCGAGATGTACTTCAGGGTCAAAGGCCCGGTCACCCAGTTTCTGGGTCGGGCACACCTGGTCCGAGCCCAGTTGTCGGCCCCGCAATCCTCTGAGAACCTAGTGAGCACTTTACACGTCTTCAGCTCACCTCCTCTCTGTGCACCTGACTCTAGGATCTTAATATTCTTGGTGACCTTACCAGCCATTCTAAAATGATGTGGTCAACGTTACCAGTGATATTTTCCCCAGAGACTGCCTTTCTCATTTCAGAATTCCATTGAAGTAATGAAATGTTTACCCTGTTTCCAAAGCGGTGGCAGGCTAAACAACTCATACATTTTCTTGGCATTATAGAATTAAATACCAAATTCGTTTTCACAGTCACCCATGCAGTGGGCATAAGCTCAGAGACTCCCACCCTCCCGCTCTCCTCTGTGCCAGGGTGTCTGTTCCGTAGGCTGTCCACAAACGCCTGCGGATGGCTGCCATCTAGCCAGTGTAATGGATTCTTGATGGTGTTTTAGGTGGAGTTCGAGAACTGTGTGACTCAGTACATGAAGGCTATAAACTTTGGGAAAGGAGAACCCAGGTAGGTCTGATGGAATTGGGTATTCCCAACTGGCTATAGAAAAATGTCAGGGCCAGGGTTTGCAAATGGCTCAACTTATTTGATAGATAAAATGGAAGTAGGGTGTCTTTGTGTCTGTGTGGTCTTGTTGTATATAATTGAACACATCTCTGTGCTATGTGGAATTTGGACTGTGTTTGCATGAAATTGGCTTATAACTGTATCTTCTTCTCTTTCCCACGGTTTTGTATATTTGGTTTGAGTGTGTTTTCTTTATTGACCCCTGGTGACCAGTCCCCAGGATGCCTTTGCGTTAATGGGACACGTTTCCTGTTCTTGCATTGCTGGTGTGAGTGGGGCAGGTTGTCTCCGCCACTTGTCTATACTGCCCCCTGGTGGACTTCCTGGTTAAGGTTGCCCATCTCTACTGAGAGATGCTGTTGAGTTGGTCCCATAGCGACCCCAAGTACAACAGAATGAAATCCTGCGGGATCCTCTACCACCCTCACAGTCATTGCTGTCTTTGAGTCCATTTTGTGGTCACTGTGTCAGTCCATCTTTTTTTTGGGGGGGGGTCTTCCTATTTTTCACTGACCCTCTACTCTTCCAGGCATGATGTCCTTCTCCAAGGACTGATTCCTCCTGATAAGATGTAAGACGCAGTCTTGTCACCCTTGCCTCCTTCTTCATTTTAAATTTTTTATTGTGACTTGGGTTAAAGTTTATAGAGCAAATTGGTTTTCCATTTAACAATTCATACACGATTTGTCCTATACCATTCACCACAGTCCTCACACTATAACAACCGTCTTCCCACTTCCTTCCTGTGTTTACTGTTTCCAATCTTCCTGCTTATGTATCCCTTCCTGCCTTCTGAACTTTCGCCCCAGGCAGACGCTGCCATTTTGATCTTGTATGGTTGGTTGGGCTTCCCTTCTAGGCTTGTCTACCATTGGCGGAACGTTGAGCTTCTGGGTGTCTAAGGGAGTTGTGGAGGCTAAAGTTCATGTGGTCCATTTGTCCTTTGGGCCAATGGTTTCCATGTGTCTTTGATTTCTGGTCAGGGAGAGACCAATGTGAGATGACTGCTCACAAGCTCTTTAGACCCGTGGCTACTCACACAAGTAGAATGTAGAACACTGTCTTTATGGACTATGTTATGCCAATTAATGTTGGCATCCCTCCAGACCACGGTCCGAGCCTGCAGGCCCAGAGACTCCTCCCCTCAAGGTGTTTGATTCTGGCTGTGAAGTTGTTATCCCTTTGTGTCCTGGTGGTTCTACTGCATTCATGGATATAAACACATGTATAGAAGTATCCTCAGTTAAGCGCACATACATTCATGAGTATAGGCACTGCTCCTCCCACTCTTGGCCAACCTTGCTTCTAAGATGCATTCTGTCTCTAGAGAGGACAGATAATGGCTGCTGGGACTCAGTTAATGACTTCCTCATCAAAATCAAATATCATTACTGGAACTGTTTGCGTACAAACTGGGACGGATACAGCAAGCACATTGAAATGGGATGCAGCCTTTAAAGGAGATTTAAATATGACCACCAGGTTCATTCATCCATTCTACAGTAAGCTGCTTGCTTGTCTGTTGAGCCCAACTCTGGCCAACCCATGCCGTGGGTACCTACCTGGTTGGGATGCTGGTGGCTGCCTTGGCCCATGGTTTTAAGGACAAAAGATGTTTCTAGGATCCAGGAGCAGGAGAGGTCAGCTCTGGGAATTGGCATTGACATTCTCACTGCAGGGTTCTTAGGGACCTGCACAGGGACTGGGGTACTGTGGCAGTCCCAGGGGAGGTCTGCTTGTCCCAGGAGGAGAAGGGGCTGGCTGGAGGCTCCTGGCCCACCAGGAAAGAGCAGATCGGGCAGTGGGAAAGGACTGGAGATGCCAGACCCCCTCTTGTGGCTGTCTTAGGCAGGACATGCAGTGAGAAGGCACAGTGACTGCCTGACAGTGGGCAGCAAGCCCCTTGCACCCTACCTTCTCCCCTCGGAAAATCTGGATAAAATGTAGCCTTTCCTGGTTGCTCTGCGGCTCTGAGTAAACTCCAGCTGGCAAAGGCTTGTCTAGGTGGCAGTGCCCCTAGGTCCTCCCTCCACCCAATGGCCAGGAAGAGACACGCCCCACCCCTACTCCTGAGGTCCTCCATGGGGGGGGGGGGGCAAATGCTGGCTGGGACTCTGCAGTGGCTCTGGCTTCCCCAGGAGCCCGCGCAGCAGGGAAGTGGTCCTCTGGGTCTGTTCCCAGTCCCCAGGCTTACATTCCTGTTCAGGTGTTCCCTACCCCATGTCCTGCTCTCATTAGCCATCACCTGGTCCTCTCCCTGACCCCTCCCCTGGTCACTCTGGGATCACAGTGGAGACATGACTCTCTGTATGCCCTTCCCCTCCCCCTCTAAGGTTGCCCACTCCTGCGAACGGTGAGTCCCTGGAAAGCCGAGAGAGGCCGAATTTCTAGGGGTGATACAGTCATTGTTCCGTTGTGGGATGGATGTGTGAGGGAAGGAGAGAGGGCGCCTCCATCTGGGAGGCAGAACCGGATCCTTGGGCTGTTCTGGGATTGGGATGGCAGTCAGTCTGCTGCCATCTGCTGGAAACAGGTGGATGGAGGCGCTGTACGGTAAACAAGGTGTCCTGAGCATGTGTCCTGAGGAGCTATGCACCGCCATGCTTCCGTGTCTCCCTCTAGGTATTACTTTTTAGTTTATAATGCGTCAGTCCTCTACTGGCAAATGGTGAGGCCGTTCCTCAAGCCTGGATTCCGCCACCACCTCATCTCCAGCCTCTCCCAAATTGTCAACGTGTTAAACCAGACCAAGGAAGAGGACAAAGACTGGCGGGCGGAGCTGATGCTGTGAGTTCAACCTCTCCCCCCCCCCACCCCCCCCCCCGCCTCTGAAACTCATCTCTCTGGGTTTTATTTCTGGTGGTCCCAGCTCTGTACACAGACAATTCTTGATGCACTTGAGTTCTGGTGGGGAGAGAAGAGATCTTCAGTCACCAACCAAAGTGGGCACAATGTTGAAGTTTGATCCTCCTAGCCCGCCAAGCCAACTCATAGTGACCCTAAAAAGCGTTTCTAAGACCAAATCTTGACAGGAGCAGACAGCTTCATTCTTCTTCCTTAGAGCAACTGGTGCATTTGAACTGCCAACCATGTGGCTAGCAGCCCATTGCTTAGCCCACAGTGCCACCAGAGCTCCTCTTTAGCCTGCTAGAGAGTTAGACATGTATCTCTCCTCAAGGTGTAACTATAGAGATTTAGACATGTATCTTTCCTCAATGTGTAACTATAGAGATTTAGACATGTATCTTTCTTCAAGGTGTAACTATAGAGATTTAGACTTGTATCTTTCCTCAAGGTGTAACTATAGAGATTTAGACTTGTATCTTTCCTCAAGGTGTAACTGCCTCATTCAGTAACACTCACAGCTCCAGAGACTTCCAGCTGGGAGTGTGGTCAAACGTCTCCCTCCACCTGAGGGCACCCTGAGGCACTCACTCACGTCCTTCATAGAGTCCTTTTATTTGGTCTTGGATTTCCAGATAAGCAGAATTCTTTTGTGGCAGCTACAGCTCTGGTAGCGTAGTGCTTAGGAATCGGGCTGCTAACCTCAAGGTCAGTGGTTCAAAACTATCAGCCGTTCCATGGGAGAAAGATTTACAGCCTCAGAAACCCTGTGCAGGGTCACTATGAGTCAGAACAGACCCCATGGTATACAACAACGAGGTTGGTTTGAACTGCAAGGTTGGTGGTTCAAATCCGCCAGCTGCTCCTTGGAAACCCTATACAGGGTCACTATGAGTTGGAATCGACTTGATAGCAAAATTGACAAGAACCACAGAATCCTACAGTCTGGTCCTGTCTGTCGTGTCTGGCTTCTGTTACTCAGCAGACTGCATTGGACATCCACCTGGGTTGTTATCTGCGGTTCCTGTCTGTGTGTTGCCTGAGCCAATCACAGCTTGTCTACTCACTCACCTATTGAAGGACATTTGGTTATTTCCCACTTTGAAATGTTTAGAAATAAGGTTGCGGAAAACACCATGTTTAGATTTTTGTGTGAACCCTTGCTGTTATTCCTCTTGGATGCTTATGTCAGAGTAGAATTGTTGGGTCATGGGGAAGGTGTCCTGATGTTGAGTCCTGGGGTAGCGCTGTAGGATCAGCACTGGACTGCTAACGGCAAGGTTGCCAGTTCAAACCCACCAACTGCTCCTTGGAAATCCTCTACAGACTCGCTATGAGTCGGAACTGACTCAACGGCACTTCAGAACACCAGGGTAGGTGCGTGTTAAGTATATAGGAAACAACCAGATAGTCTCCAAAGTTTCAGTACCCGCAGCATGAATGGAGTGTTAGCTCTCCACAGCCTTGCTACAGTTGGATCGCCTTCACCTTTTGTATCTGAATCATTGTGATGGGTCTGCACCGTCTCTTTGTGGTCTCACTTGTGTCTCCATGACCACTAAAGGTGTCGAGCACCTTTTCACGTGTTTGCTGGCCACTTGTTTATTTTATTTCATGCAGTGTCTGTCTACTCAAGCCTTTCACTTGTGCTTTATTGGGTTACTTGTTGTTTATTGAGCTGAAAATATCCTTTATGTATTCTTGATACAAGCCCTCTGGCAATTGTAAGCTTTGGGAACATTTTCTCCCACTCTGGGGCTGGTGTTTCATTTTCATCATGGTGTTTTTTAAAGAAAAGCAATTTTTCATTTCGATGCAGTCTAATTTATAACATTTCCCTGTTCTGTTTAATGATATTTGTGTAAGAAGTCTTTGTCTCCCTAAGATGGTGATGTTTTCTCCTGTGTTCTTTGAGAAGCTTTATAATTTTAGCTCTGACATTCAGGTCTATGCTCCATTCTGAGTTCATTTCTGATGAGATGTGAGGTCTGAGCTGGGATTCAGTTCTTTCCCTATGAATACTGTTTTCCAGCCTAACTGGTTAAAAAGACTTTGTTTTTCCACATTGACGTTTGTTGGCATTATTTTGGAAAAGAAAGCACTGCTATTCCTCTTGGTCACTTAATAATGAATCTCCAGTTGTCTGGAAGACGGGGCACCTTGCAGACAGACTTCCTCCTCATCCCACATCTCCAAGATGTCTGCAGTAGAATGGGGGCGGGGGGAGTGTGTCTTGTCTGAAAGTTGTGCCTAAGAATGGGGACCATAGACGCAGCATCTACAGCGTGGGGATTGTGTGGATACCACAACAGAGCCAAGTGGTGCAATTAGATACACAGCAAAGGACGCGGGACCCCCTCGCTTAGCCCTGGCTCATGGTTTTAAAAATTCTGCTCAGAAAAGATTTAGGCAGGTGGACATTTTAGCAAAATATAGATAAGCCCTGGCGAGCAGGAACATGTGGTGCACAGGTGGACAGACCCTTGTTTGAGGAAGTGACCGCATGCCCGCCCCCGGTGGCAGTGCTCCGGGCCCCGAGAAACCACGGTTGCAGCATGGTAACTGTACTGGGTGGTTGTCAGGGATCGGTCAGGCTGTTCGGGGTGGCTCCAGATGCCCTTCAGGGGATGGCAGGATAGATTCCAGTGAAATTGATGACTGATGGTCCTCGGCATCAGCCCGCTCCCCAGTAAGAAGGCAGGTTCAACTGACATGTGGCAGTCTCAGGAGTTTGGGGGTGGGGGGATGAATATAAATGCACAGTTTCTTAGAGGTGTTACTTTTTAATGTCCCAGGTCATTGCAATATGAACAATTCCCTTTCCTTCTCGTTAGCAGTAGCATAGCTGTCCCCATTCCTGGTGGCTCGGCACTGGGGAGTAACAGACTCAGTGGGTACGGTTTACGGAGCTGGTGGATCCTGGTGGATAGACGTGCGATAGACGTGCGATAGACGTGTGATAGACGTGCGATAGACGTACGATAGACGTGTGATGACGTGTGATAGACGTGTGAGCCGAAAGTGACGGTCTACTGTTTTCATCTCATTCAGAGAACTTCTTGAGTGTTACCTGGATGCTGGGAAGAACGAAGACGCTGCTAAATTCTGCTCCACTGCAGCGCCCTTCATCAAAGCCCATGTACCACACAAGTACCGGCAGATATTCTCTGTTATGGTAAAGTGACCTGTTTAAAATACAACGTAGACATAGGCAGTCATTATCAGACCACTCTAGAAGTCTACTAAGACCTAATGATTTGTTTGTACAAACTTCTGTTCCATTTTATGACAGGTACGTCATGAGTTAATGGAAGAGTCTCATCTACGAGAAGAAATGAAGTCTTCAATTAGCCTGTCCGCCTCTTTCTACATTAATATGCTGAAAGCGTAAGTCGTTTTGAGAGGAAGAGCAAGAGTTCAGCATGGAAAGCCTGTGGTCCTCGGGGGTGTTTGGGCTTGCAGGAGACCAGGGGTCATCAGGGTGTACATGCTGAGAACACAGGTAGCACTCTAGCCCCACACTGCCTTCCCTCCTGTCCCAGTGAGAGTGAGGCTGGAAGGAGGAAGTCTCCAGTCCTGCCACATGCTACCGGCCTGTCAGACGGATGAGACCTGTCATAGCAGATGTGATCATAGCGTTGACCAAATAGGAGCAGTTTGTGGGTGAAACTCTGACGGGGTAGGCAAAGAGTGAGTGCGGAGAGGAACTATTCCCTGGGAGTATGGGCAGCCACTTTGAGAAATGTCTCTGTGAAGGAGAGCAGAGAGCCACTATGGCCCCGAGAAATTGGGGTGAGGAGAGCACAGTGTTTCTAGACGCTAAGAGAGTGAGAGGGGCACAGTGTGAGTGTGAGTGTGAGGAGAGCACCGAGTGAAAGTGTGAGGGGAGCACCATGTGTGAGTGTGGGGGGAGCACTGTGAAGGGAGCACCATGTGTGAGTGTAAGGGGAGCACTGTGTGAGTGTGTGGGGAGCACCATGTGTGAGTGTGAGGGGAGCATTGTGAGTGTGAAGGGAGCACCATGTGTGAGTGTGAGGGGAGCACCATATGTGTGTGCGAGGAGCACTGTTTGAGTGTGCGGGGAGCACCGTGTGAGTGTGAGGGGAGCACTATGAGTGTGAGGGGAGCACTGTGAGTGTGAGGGGAGCACTGTGAGTGTGAGGGGAGCATCGTGTGAGTGTGAGGGGAGCACTGTGAGTGTGCGGGGAGCACCGTGTGGTGTG